CTCACAGCTGCTGTGTTCACCCTGCAGGCGGCCAAGCGCGAGCTGGAGAGGCAGAGGCAGCTGGAGTGGGAGCGCAACCGGCGGCAGGAGCTGCTGAACCAGAGGAACAAGGAGCAGGAGGACATCGTGGTGCTCAAGGCCAAGAAGAAAACCCTGGAGTTCGAGCTGGAAGCTCTGGTGAGTGGGGAAGCAGCAGCTCAAACACACAGGTGTCACCACATTTCACAGAGAAAAGCAAGGCACGGTTCTGGCCAGGAATATTTCTGGGTTTCACATTCCTGAACCTCAGAGAAAGGACAAAAACAATTCTTATCTCATTTACTGTGCTTGTTTTGGTGAAAAAGTAAAATGCAATATGAAAATTATTTACCCAAATAATAATATTGTGTTTCCTTGGCCTATCAGGGCCAAGTGTGTGTCAGGACTGTCACTGACAGTCACAAAATGCTGTGCAGTTGTGCAGTTGAGTGCTTGGCAGATTCAGTTTAGACATAACGTAATATAGTGTGATATAATACAAAATAACATAGTATAATAAAAGAATTCATTAACCTTCTAATAGGATGGAGTCAGCTGCCCTGGAGTCATTCTCCCCTCATCAGGGCTGCCCTGCAGATTCCACACACAAACACAGCCTGGTGGTGACTGCCCTGGCTCTGGTTGTTTTCTGTGTTCTCTAGAATTTCCACCACTGGTATTTCCCTTAGTGTCACTTGAGGTGTTTTTATCCCAGCTGTGATCCCAGAAAATGTCACTGTGTAGGAGAAAAGGCCATATTTTGTCTGGGGAGAACCTTAAAGCTTTTTCCTGAAAAAATAAAAGTTTTTTCAACTATCCTGTAAATTTTCCTATCTCGTGTGTAGAGAACAGGCTAAAGGTATAAATGAGTTTAAAAAATGAGTGTTTAGAAGAAGTTTTTGTTCCAGACTTGCACAACTGAACATTTTGGTTAAAAATTTTATTAAATAGATGTTTTTCTTTTCTTGTAAAGAATGATAAAAGGAACCAGTTGGAGGGGAAGCTTCAGGATATCAGGTGTCGGCTGTCGACCCAAAGACAAGAAATTGAAAGTACAAATAAATCCCGAGAACTCAGAATTGCAGAAATCACCCATTTGCAGCAGCAGCTACAGGTGAGAAAATGTCTAATTTTATTCTTAGCCTTGAATTTTGAGCTCCTCAAAACCATCAATATGCTGAGCAAACTTGGAATGAGCTGTTCCTCACACTTAAGGATAATTTGTCATTAAATGAAATGGAAGCTCCCAGTGAAACCAGGGAGTTTTTGGTCTAAGCCTGGCATTTGCCTTTCTTACTGAAATTCTGAAATTACTGAAATTCTGTCACATGAGAGCTGCAGCCTTCAGTGAAAGAATATTCACTCTAGTTTGGGTTTTTCAATGGGCTGCAGTGTTTGACTCAGGAAATTTTCTCTTTTATAAATCCTGCACAGGGCTTGAAATTAATTCTTGGCTGGTCATGGGGGCTCTCAGTGTGTTTGTACCAATACAGAGAATCTCACACCTACAGAGCTGAGGTGTAAAACCTGCCTTAAAACCTAATCCTGCTGCTTTATTGTAAAAATTAGTGATCAAGTTAAAAAGTAATTAAGTTAAAAAGTATTTAGTTATTAAGTTAAAAATAAAATGAATGAAATATAATTTCTTAATTACATAATTTTTCCTTAAAACCTTATAAAGATAAATAAAGATAAAGATAAAACCATTTCATAGCTTATTAATAAAATACTATAAAACTCACAACCTATAAAACTATAATATATGTAAAAATAATAAACATCTAAGTCCAAACACAAAATACCATCTCAAACACTTTCAATCTCAACCATAACAAAAACAAACAAACAAAATTAAAATAAACTAACATTTAATGGTGCCCTGTGTAAGGATCAAACTCACAACCTTCAGATTATGACTGGTTTTTTTGAGGGTCTGTGCTTTTTATAAAAAATTAAATAAATTTAAATGTTTTTAATTTAACTATTATAATTATACTTCATAAATAATTTTATTATAAAAATTAGAATAAAATAATTCTGTCCTGCTTTCCCTGGCAGTTGTTCTGTTGGGGTGCTTTGGCAGCAGTGGCTGTGGCTGTGTGCTGGTGCCTGCTCCCATTGATCTCCACCACTGATATTTCCTTAGTGTCACTTGGGCTGTTTTTATCCCAGAAAATGTCACTATTCAGGAGAAAAAGCCACATTTTGTCTGGGGAGAACCTCAAAGCTTTTTCCTGAAAAAAAATTTATTTTTTCAAATATTCTGTAAATTTTCCTATCTCATCTGTAGAAGGCAGACAAAGATGTGAATGAGTTTTATACAAGGAGATTTCCATCCTCTCAACTCTCAAAAAGGTTATAAAGTCAGTATTGTCATTATCCTTGTGATGTATCTTCATTGGGAGCAGTTTGGTTTAATACATCTGGCACTGGCTGTGGGAAGATGAGTTCATCAGAGCAGTAATTATCCCTCAGGCTGTTAATTGCTGCCAAGGTGCAGTTTCACTGGGCTGTGGGAGAGGTGGTGTCCCTGTTAGTGCTGGCATGAGGGTGTGTGCCATCCCTGCCCTGGGCTGCCTGCAGGTGACAGTGGAGCCCTGGAAAAAGTTANTGGCTGCTGAAAGGCCAGAAATGATTTTGCGCTGATTTTCTGTCTGTGACATTGTTCAAGGGAGCGTTTGACTGTCACAGATAACTTTTATGAAAAATCCTTTCTTTAGGATTTTTCCTCCTGAGAAGCTGCGAGGCCTCAGGAACAAAATGCAAACAATGATTATCTGCTGCTGTGGAATGCAACAGGTCATCTGTGATTGGTCTCATGTGGTTGTTTCTAATTAATGGCCAATCACAGTCAGCTGGCTCGGACAGAGAGTCTTTGACAGTTGCTTTTGTTATGATTCTTTCGTTTCTATTCTTAGCTTAGCCAGCCTTCTAGTGAAACCTTTTCTTTTTTTAGTATAGTTTTAATGTAATATATATAATAAAATAATAAATCAGCCTTCTGAAACATGGAGTCAGATCTACATCTCTTCCCTCATCCTAAGACCCCTGTGAACACGGTCACATTTGACTGCTCATTTCAGGGTGTTACACAAAGAAAAACTCTCTAACTTCTATGTCCTCATCAATTTTCAGCGAGTTAAACCTGTGTCTGGCTGCGTTTTGCACTGAGCTGCTGTGGGGTAACAGAGCACAGCCGGCTGCTACAGGGAAGATATTTGCCCTCCAGTTATTTTTACTGAAGCTCCTGGTGTCTGCAGCAAAATGTAAATATTCACTCCACAGAATTATTTGCAAGTGGCAGTTCAGTTTGCCTTTTGAGCGTCTGCACCAAACAGAAACAATAACCGAGTTTGAGTTAAGAATGACTCAATCCAGCCTTTGCACAGCTCCCGTGCCTGCAGGTGGAAAATGGATTATTGATATGAAAACGGGGAAAAACAGGAATCCACCACACACATCATCCTCTCTAAACCCTACAGAGTGCCAGCTCAGGGCTGTGCTGGTCCTGCTCCATTCCCACCTGCTCCCCAGTGGCACAAAGGATTTGGGCTGGGCTGGATTGGTGACTTTGGGTGGCTCTGGTGAGGCACAGGGGGCAGCTGGGGGACCCTGAATCCCTTCAGCAGGGCTGGGAGTGAGCCCAGAGCTGTGGGGATGGACAGGAGCCCAGGCTGGATTGGAGCAGAGCTTTAGGAGCCCCCAAAAACCTCTGGGCAGGAGCCATTGGTGCCGCTCTCCCCTCTCCCCACACCCCAATTTCCCATTTCCCCCCTATTTTCTCCCTCTTGCTGTAGCCCCATTTCTCTTCACAGAGAAAAGCAAGGCAATTCTTCCCAGGAACGTTCTTATCTCATTTGCTGTACCTGTGTTTGTGCAAAAGTAGGGTGCAATATGGAGATGGGTTCCCCAAATGGTGCTTTGCATGGTGGTTTGGATTTCTGATGTTGTAAACCTTGTTTTAGTGATATAATAGATGTTCTACAGGTAAAGAATCTCCTCGATCATTTTACACCAGCACTTGACTGAGGTTTTGATTGGTAGTGGATAAACCTCCCAAGGTGTGTTTGTTCTCTCTCCTCCCTCCTTGTCACAGACATATTTTTATGAAAATCCTTTCTTAGGATATTTTCTTCCTGAGAAGCTGAGAGGCTCCAGGAACACAATGTAAACAATGGTTTTCTGCTGCTGTGGAATGCAACAGGTGGATTTTTGATTGGCCCATCTTGGATGTTTATCATTAATGGCCAATCAAGGCCGAGCTATCTTGGACAGAGTCCTAGTCAGCTGGCTTTTGTTATCATTCTTTGCTATTCTATTGTTAGCTTAGCCAGCCTTCTGAGATAAAACTTTCCATCTATTCTTTAGTATAGTTATAATGTAATATATATCATAAAATAATAAATCAATGTGACGGTGGTCACAAGGGTTGCAGGTGAAGAGAGAGGAGAGAATGTTGACCTCATGTTCAGAAGGTTTGATTTATTATTTTATGATATATATTACATTATGACTATACTAGAAAGAATAGAAGGAAAAGTTCTCAGAAGGCTAGTTAAGCTAAGAAGAGAAAAGAATGAATAACAAAGGAGCTCTCTCTGACTCTGTCCCAGAGAGAGCTCGGTCCTTGATTGGCCATTAATTATACACATCCAACATGGGNTCCTGTCCCTGTTCCCTGCGAGCAGAGCCCGACCCCCCCGGCTGTGCCCTCCTGGCAGGGCCTTGTGCAGAGCCACGAGGGCCCCTGAGCCTCCTTTGCTCCAGCCCCAGCCCCTTCCAGCTCCTCAGGGATTCTGCAGCCCCTTCCCAGCCCCTCAGGGATTCTGCAGCCCCTTCCAGCTCCTCAGGGATTCTGCAGCCCCTTCCCAGCTCTGTTCCCTACCCTGGACACGCTCCAGCCCCTCCAGGGCTCTCCTGCAGGACCAGAACTCAGAACTCCTTTCCTTGCTCTCCACTGAGGCCACCTGAGCCACAGCCACCTGTATCCCCTGGGGAAGCGCCCTCTGTGCAGGGCATTTTCCAAACTCGCTGACAAAACCGGGGGAATGAAGATGTTTCCACTTCAGTTTGGGAGTCACCAGGCCCCACTCACTCCAACACAACCCCTGCTCAGTTCATTCTCTGTGTTCTGCTGGATCCACGGGCCAGGCTGGGATTTTCCAGCGTTCCCGAGGGACCTCAGCCGCGTTCCGTTGCAGTGGGGTCTGTGTCTGATTCTGTCATGCTCCCCTGGCAATCCCAGCTCCTGCCCCAAGGCCCTGCCAGGCTCCGCAGGGAGATGGGATTTGGCACCTCAGCTCTGCATCCTCGCTCCCAGGCCCGGAGCCCAGACCCCCCCTCACCTTTTGGCATCTCCCCCTGCTTTCTGAGCGCCCGGAGGGCCCAGCTTCCCGCGGCACAGCCCAGGTGAAGGGAACAGAGGCGCTCTGTGCTCCGCGGCCCGGCCTCGCAGGTGCTCGAGGAACTTGGCCGGGGACGCCGCCCCCCCCGGCACATCCATTTTACCTTCTGGCCGCCTCTAATGAATCATTCATCCCTTTCTGGGCACGGAGAACGGGCAGCCCCGGCCCCGGCTGCCTCCCCCCGGTTTGTTCCCTTTCAGCCGCGCTCTTCCTGCCGCTTTCTGCCCCCTCAATGGGCGAGGAGCGAAACCGGATGGCTGGATGGAGCGCTGGGAAAT